CGGTACCCGTCCTCTCTCTCTCTCTCTCTCTCTCTCTCTCTCTCCGACACACATAAACCCAAACACACATACTACAATATTGGATTTTTTTACTCACTCATGTAATCACCCTTTCTACTCAAAACCCATTTCTTCCTATCTCATCGCTCTTTACTTTTTTTTCGCCATCATTGATAGACGGCTCATTCCCGAGGAGGAAATCCTAACAATTGATGTGAAACCTGGGTGGAAGAAGGGCACTAAGATCACATTCCCCGACAAGGGCAACGATCGCCAAGACCTCATCTTCATCATCGATGAGAAGCCACACCCTACATACACACGCGATGGCAATGACCTTGTTGCTAACATTACCATGTCCTTAGCTGACGCTTTAGGGGGCACCACTGTCTCCCTTGTAACCCTAGATGGGCGCCAACTCTCGATCCCGGTTAACGATATCATAACCCCAGGCTATGAGATCATAATTACAAAGGAGGGCATGCCCTACGTGCGAGAGCCTAGACGTAGGGGCAACCTAAGAGTCAAGTTCAATGTCAAGTTCCCATCACGGCTCAGTGCAGAGCAGAGGTCCGGCATCAAGCGACTACTAGGTGGCACTTGATATCTCAACAAAAACAGTGATGTTCACATGTATTATATGTGAAGTTTTATGCAATACCCTCCCTTGTCTCAACAAAAACAAAAATAGTGTTCACATGTATTCTATGTGAGGTCTTATGGATTACGCTCCATTGTAATGGGGAGCTCCATCCATATTTACTCTCTCTCTCTCTCTCTCTCTCAAACACCAAAGGTCACAACTATTCTAACAAAGTTTTATGGTGTACCGTCCACATGTTTTGGAGGGTTCAATCCACATGTACTACATAAAAAGTTCTCTATCAAGTTTATGTAAGCTCACCTCTCAAGTTCACGAACCAACTCAGAAGGGTAACTGAAACAAGGATAGCAAAATAGTCATAAAAAGAAATTTTGAGCCATAACAGTCGTAAGTCTGAAACCTTTTGCATAGTTAATCATACCACACAGCCCAGACTAATTGCATGAAGCCAACTTGGGTAATGCATTTACACTATGAACAAAGAGTTTTCCCCAAACCAACCACTAAAACAAAAATAGAAGCGGATCAAAAGTAAGTAAAAACCTGGTGTTCTTGGTAGAGCTTGGGTCAATTGATCGAATAATACAGATCAGTACCGACCTGCAAATTCGACAAGCCTAGTAAATTCCTCAGGTACAAAGGACTCAATCTTGAGTGCAGGCTCGATGTCTTTTCTTCCCTTGCTGCGTCCCATGGGTAAAGGTGATGCATATTTTCTTCCTATTACTGTTGCTAAGCCTGGCACAAGATGCATGACAGTTTTTGCAACGTATATGAAATATGACACAAGAAATAATAAACATAATAAGATTAAAAAAGGTAATTGTAAATAAAATGCAAAAACAAGTAAAGGAGCCACTAACAAAGCTTTACTTGTCCTAGACTAATTGAAAGAAAAGCATACAACACTCCAATGGATACCATGATCCAGTGGATTATGAAAGTATTACATTCCCTAGGGTCATCACCATTACCATCCATCAGAGGAGGGCAGTAGATTGGAGAAAGGGCAATATACCATGGTTTTCCATAGTTCATCATGATTCTAGGATACTCTCCATAAAATGAAGGCGAAAAGACATAAACCCCAATCTTAAATTATAGTCCCAAGCAACCTCCCAGTCCAATAAATATCCCCTAAAACGCCCCAAGTTAAATAGAAAATGACGTTGAACCCCCCTTTCGACGTTGAACCCCCCTCTCGTGAAACTCACAAGTAAAAAGAGGCAACACAAACTCAATTTTTATGATGAGATTATTAGAAAAAAGAACGGGGGTAAATTCGGTAATTTGAACGAATAAGAAAGGTAAGGTGGGGGGTAAACATCCATTTTTGTTCAACTTGAGGGATTCTATGGGCTTTGATTAGACCAGGGGGATATCTGGAATAAGAAGTTTAGGGTGGGGGTATATGTCTTTTTCCCTCAAATGAAAATGGACTTAGTTGTTTGCCTGTCATATAAATTTGTGCCGGTTACTTTGAACCTTCTTAATTAAAACGAACGTAATTGAATACACCCAAATTGCAAATACTGTTGGCAAGACTCCTTAGATGACGAACCCAGAAATTTGGGTCCCTTGAATTTGCCACCTAAAGGGAAATCTTGTATCTTGAAGGAACTTTATTGGTTTTCACACCCGAAGGACGTTCGTTTTCGTGCATTATTACCCTCTTCATCTTATTAACAATGACTTCCCGAGAAACAGTAGCTAATGATCTCAACTCTCACCCCAGGTTGCAGGTACAAATCCCCAGATTTAACAATCAAAATGAGAAAAACAAAAAAAATCAAGAAATAAAGAAATCATTCCAAGATGAGTAACTTTATTATTGTCACAGAAAGTATATTTCATGACAGCAGGCACTGAAGTTTGTTCTTCTCATTTTCAAATTGATTGAGAAAATGCAATGGCATCAATGTTCAAAATTTTGCAATTAGGCGCAGCACAAGTGCAACCCATCAAGAATCGGAACTGAAAAAATTTAAGAAAAAAAACTGGTAACTAGACATTCATTATTGAGGAAGAGAACAAAATTTTCACTTTACTCTGGTCTTTCTTTTCTTTTTCTTTTAGGAATTCATTTCTAGTTAGATGAACAAAAATCTGATGAATTAACAAAGCAAGCATAAATAACATGAATTTGTAAAGAAATAGCGCATAACAATTCAAAATGAAGTGGCTGCATACCAAACTCAGGTGTTCAACATTTCTGATTTCTCAAAAACAAGATCAGCCTAAATGCTCTAAACCACTTACCCATGGGGTAGAATCCAGTATATATGCATCTAAAAAACATATTTGGGAAAGGTTTCTATACTTCTCCTATAGCATAGAAGATATATGCTTCCCCTCCCATCCAGCCGTTCAAGTTTGATCAAGTGAGCCACCCATCGTTTAATCTAGATCCGACGCCTCAGAGTATTTTCTTTTTACATATTCTATGAATATGAAATTTGGTACATGCCAACTTCTCATTGGGGCGTACCTAAAAAAAATATTAAAAATAATTTGCGATAAAATTTAATAACCAAAATACCCCTTGAAAGTTTCAGGGGCATTTTGGTCATTTTATTTTATTAGGAATATTTTTTTTGTATTGTTTACAAGTGCAAGTTTAAGAAAGGATTGGATGTCCAAAATTTGGTGTCAAAATATTTTATATAAAAAAATTAAAAATAAAATAGTGTAGAGACGTGACATTGTGATTGAGACAATCTTAGCCATCCATTCAGAATGGACGGTTGGATAAGGGGAAGCATATTTATGCTGTAGGGGAAGAATAAAAAGCATTCTCAACACATTTTACCTTCAAAAACAACTTAGAGAACAGTGCTTGCACTATGTTAAAAAAATTGCACAACAAACAAGATACTAACAATCTTCTACTTTCAAGCCTACGCTTTGAATCAGAACTTATGCACCATCAAATTTTTGGAAGCGTAGAGATTTAAAAACTCGGACCAAGCTAGGGACTCATCATGGTTCCGAGTGTAGTCAACTCATTGACCCCTAAGTTGACACATCCAGTCCAATTAGATATCCCATATAAGTTTAGGTTCTACAAAGACTCGGGTAAAGATTTGGAGCTACATGATAACAACCCACAGTAAAATACACTTACTGTCATGTATCCTTCCATATATGAGACGTTCACCCCTCCAATACTCAAGAGGTCTTGATTTGATTCTGGTGCTTCGCCTTACCCCACCTTCAAATTTCGTACCGGCCCCTTAAACAATCAATTCATTCATTCAAGTAAATAATTAGCTCCTCAAATGATTGCATTTAGCATCCCAAGAAGCTTAGCATCCCAAGAAGCATGGACCAATGAAAACCAGCGAAATTGTTAGCTAGGAAACTATAAATAGGTGGATTGAACCAGTCCAGGGAGAATACCTGGATTGAACCAGTCCAGGGAGAATATGCATTAAAAGAATACCTGCGAGACTCTTCCTGTGAGTAAGTTCTTTACGTTTGCCATGTCTCTTTGTTGCATGTTCTCCCTGCACCACAAGAAAGCATTAATCAATACTAGTTTTAACTTCACACTGAAAACAAAACAAGAAGTTAGATCTGCAGAAGAACTTTAACTAGCTCTGTTTTTATCAACAACAAAAATTACTAAGACAAAATACCATTATTCAAAACTTCAGCCACCCAGACACCTAAGTTTTGGGAAGCCTCCAAATAGCATGGGCCTAGGTGAGTACCCTATGCAGCCATGGGCCTAGGCGCCCATTTGTGCCTGGGAAGCGCCTCAACAACCCATGACCAAGGGAGGAGAAAGGCCCTTGGCCAAGGATAAATAAAGACATTTCCCCCTTGAAAGGGGATCAGTTTTGCCCCTCCACCCCAAAACGCTATTAAACACTTCTTGAATGAGAAAAAACATGATTAAAACTGAGATTTTGAAATTTTTCCGAAGATCAAAAGAATTTTTAGCTTTTCGACTTCCTGTGAAATCCAAAAGCAATCAATCAAAATACTTTTTGTGGTTTGAAATTGTGAGAAAGAGGTCTTTCGGTACCAATGTTAACAGATTCGAGCCAAGATCAATTGGGTATTGAAAGGTTAGTATAATTAAATCTGCAGGGTAGAAAATCCAACAATAAGCGTACAACCCACGCTTTAATGGCTCTGAACTGGTTAAACCAGAAAAAAGATCTTAATACTCAACTCTCTGTGCTAAATTCCCTACATTGACCCTTATTTATAGTAAACAGTAGTACTGAGAGGACAAGCAATCTTATTTCTAATAGAAGTTGAAGCCCTAACTAAAACAAAATTCTTGATGACATTTTTCCTTTATAAACAAATAATTCCATAAGTTAGAAAACCAAGATCCCTAAAATAAAAACATGGAAACCCCAAAACTAAATTTACAATGTCAATCATTTGAAATTTGAATTTGAATTTGAATATTTGGCCAATATGCAAGAGCAGGTTTTGGTTTGAGCTTATTGCCATTTTAAGATTGGAACCCGATCTTGGTAAAATGTCATTAAACTCAAACCAAATGGTTTCTTTCCTACTTTATAGGTCCTAAATTGTCCTAGATTGAAAAAAGGTAAAATTGTAAAAAAAATAATCAATTTTATTGTTCCTTTCCAAATTTTTGATGATTTCTTATTGATATTTGGTGCTTCATTAGTGACTTTTTAAATATTTAGGTACCTGAGTTATCATTCTGTTAATTTTTTTTGAGTTCTAATTTTATAAACTAGGAAATACTACAATAGCTTGGGTAACTTTTGTGGGTTACTTTATTACTTTACTAAATACTTACTTTTTGGTTTCTTGACAACATTTTTAAAAATTTGTTACTTTATTTCAACTTGAGTTTGATTTGTTGTTACATTTTTAAAAAATAAGCCTAAACTTCCAGAATATGCATTCAATACTTGATTTGTTGTTTTTGAGCATTTTTCAGGATTTGGGTGGCTGGTCAATGGCATGAATACGTTACAACTTCTTCTAGTTCTAATAAACAAGTTAATCCGTTATGGATCATGCACCAATCCACATGACCAAAATAGGGTTGAGAACAATTGCTGCAAGAAAGGTTATAATGCCAGCATTCATTAACTAAAGAAACTTTTAACCAGAATTACAGGGAATGTTGCCTCACACATTCAAGTCCCTGCAAAAGTTAGGAGGGAGATGTTGGAGCACTTGGAGGGGTTCCTAAGCAAGAAAGGGGAGTTGAGAAAAAAAACACGAAGACATCACCAAATCAATTGCTGCGTGGGTAGAAAGAGAAGAAAAGACATATCGTTGGGAAAGGGGGCCCTAAAAGCCAAGTGGAGATTGGGCAAAGAAGACCTTGAATGTAGGGCCTATGGATTCTTACTCCACCTAATCCTGAATAGCAGTTCAAGAAAGGGGTAGACAACTACTAAAATTAGTTCATGAAAGAGAAAAAAGGCAAAGAGAGATTAACATATATCACAATGGATTTATGAAGACAGCATCTCATTCAATGCCGCTAGCTTCAAGTTAAGATGGAAGCAATGGCACAATTTGAGCCAAGGTATAAGGTTCCTACACCCTATGAACTCAAGGGCTCATTACTTAAAATTTAAAAAAGAGGTGCAACTCAATGATGAAGTATAATGAACTTGATGGTGAACTGTCCAACGCAGACCATGTTTTTGAGGTCCAATGATACATCAAATAAGATTCATGATGCGGTGTTCAGTCTTGAGTTAGTAAAAAGATGAGGTGGGAGAGAGTAGGTGGTTACTAACATGGTTGTAGTCGATATGGTGGCTGCTAAAATGTTGGAGATAAGGAAGCCACACATTTTTTGGACATCATAGGCTAAAGAAACCAAGAATTATCACAATTTTCATATACAACCACACCTACATCTTGGCCATGATGAGGAAGTTTACATATAAGAGGGACTTGGTAAGACCTGAGGTTGACTAGATTTGTAACCTATTTGTTTTTGCAGCTAATTTTGGCCCACAAAGAAGTTCAGGGACATGTTTGTATATGAAGGTGAGTTCAAAGTAAGTGGGCCAAAACTACAAGTGGGAAGGGTGGGAGCGACATTGTCTTACAACCAAGATTTTGGAAAGGATTGCGAAGGATTATGATGGTTTGGCTCTGAGCATTCACATGTCATTGAGGAGATCAAGAGTAGACTTTCCTTTTAAGACGAACAAATTCCTTGTTTATACCATGCCATTTTTATTCCAAGGAAGTAGTTCAATAGACCCAGATCCTTGATGTCAAAATTACACCCCAAGAAATCTCTCACTTCTTGAATTTCGTGATTATTATTTCCTGTGAGCACAATATCATCCACATACAATATCAGTATTATAGTAGAACTCCAATCTCGTTTAACAAATACAGAATGATAAAAAACACTTGACTAAATCCGAATTGGCATATTGTCATAATTTTTCGAACCAAGCCCGAGTGAAAGTTTCAATTCATATATAGCTCTCCTCAACTTATAGAACTTCCCTTTCTACTCTCAAGCATAAAACGTAGGTGGTAATGACATATACACTTCCTCTTGTATATCTAAATAGAGAAAGACATTCTTCACGTCCAATTGGGGGAGAGGCTATTTTTTGTTAACTGCGATTGATAAAAAAAAATGTATTGATTTCAATTTTGCTACAGGAGCAAAGGTCTCCTTCTAGTCACTCTTCCCCACCCCCCCCATGTACTGTGTAAAACCCTTAGCCACCAGACAAACTTTGTCCCTTGCAATCAAACCTTCATGTTTGTGTTTCAGGGTGTACACTCACTTGCATCATACCATATGTCTGTCCTTCTGGCCGATAAATTACATCCCATGTTCGTTGCCTCCATAAAGCAAATCACTTCCTCAATCATGGTTGTTTTCCATAGTGCATGAGCCAATGCATCTACAACTTCGGTGGGAATAAGAACAACTGAAGTAAAATAAAGATATGCACGAAAGGAAGATGAAAGTCAGGCATAGGAAACAACATTATTGATCAGATGAGAAGTACAAGTCATTTTTTCTCTTCTTATGGCAATAGCTAAAAATATTTGAGAAGGTATAGAGGTAGAAAGAGAAAAACTAACAAGTCAACAAGTTTGTTTACATCAGAATTTCCCTTGTTCTTTTTATGGGTTTACATATTCAATTGTTTATCAATAGATTCTACTTGTTCCTTGGTTGAATTACTGGAACTATCTGTGATCATTGGAAGAGGAATAGGATTCCATGAGGCATAGTAGATATTGAATCTCAAAGAGAAGAAATAGGTAAATATTCTCAATTAGGTTGCATCTTTTAAGACATATTTCCTTTTAGTTACCAGACAATAACACTTCTATCCTTTCTAAGAGTTCAAGTATCTTAGGAACACACATCCAGCAGGTTGGGGTCCTAATTTATTCCTACCCAGCACCACGATATGCACAAAGCAAACACAACCAAAGGTTTTTGGTGTAAGAGAAAACAGAGGAAGTGCATTGTGGACAAGATGAAAGGGTAGGCATCATATTGATTATACAAGCAGCAATAGAAACTGCTTCATCCCAATATGTCTTAGGAACCCTCATTCCTATTAAGATGGCTCTTACAACTTCTAACAAGTGTCTATTTTCCTTTCTGCCACACCAATTTGTTGTGGTGTATAGGAACATGATGTTTGAGTGTCTATACAGTGTTCAAGAAAGTAACTCTTTCATCCATTGTATAGCAGCTATAGCTATTCCCATGCATTATCAGGTCAGAGGAATTGATTTGGGCCTCAAACTGGGTCTAAAACACTATGAAATATTTTAGCTATTGAGGTTACTTCAACTCTGCTTTTCATAGGATAGATCCACGTATAACGAGAGTAATCATCTATGAATTAGATAAAATGCTTGTATCCAAATACATAAATAACTGGAGCATGCCCCAAATATCAGAATGAGCAAGATGGAATGGTTTAGAACTTCTATTTTTGCTAGAAGAAAAGAGGTTCTACAATGTTTAGAGCATTGACAAGTCTCACATTGTAACTGAGAAACAATCAAAGAAACAAACTTATCTAGAAATAATAATTTTAAAGATTTCAGAGTACATGCTCATGACTTCTAAACTCATAATTGAGAGCAGTAGCAGTGCAACATGCATTGAACAGGTATAGCCCATTGTCCACACAACCAACACTAATCGTCTTCCTCATTTTGACATTCTAACAAACACAACATGAGGGATAGAATGTTACATTGTGGTCTAATTGTTTTGTTAGACTACTAACAGAGTTGGAAGGAAAAGAAGGCCCATGTATTACAGAGGCTAAGAACAAGGATGATGAATGTATATATGTTCCATTGCTAAACGCACTGGTCATGGATAGGCTAACAAGTTTAACTTCATTAGGAACAGGAGAAAATGACAAAAAACCTTCTTACCAGTCGTATAGTCAATAGCCTATGAATCATTAATCCAGGATGCAGAGGAGGTGGATATGGAGGCATGATTTGTAAATGCATATGTACTTAACTGCTCTACTGGTAT